GTTTGCTTCTCACTTGTGTGGCCCCAGACTGAATTTTCTGTGGGTCAGCAGCCCCAGACCAAAAGAAGGATTCCCACCCCTGCATTAATGGATTCCATGACATTTTCATCAAGAATGTGGCTTCTAATTGAGGAGGTATTTTGATGAGAAGATTCTAAAAGAGAAAGCATTTCTGGGTCAAAGTTTGAAAAGGGATAAGATAAGTGAGATAGTGTCTCAACTTTGCCAAGTTTCCATGGAGTTACCTATTCCAGAACATCTAGGATAGGGATGGGAGAGGGGGAATGACCATGTCCTCCAATAAAAGAGTATACAAGCTTTAGTGATCAGTGGCATGGCCAGCTAAAAGATAGTAAGTGACTTTTTTCAAAGGCAATGCAGAGTAATAGACCAGGCAGAAGACAAGATTCTATTCTTCAGTCTTCTGTTACTGCCTCCAGGATACCCCTAGTATGCTGTCCTTCAGATCTTCCATCCTTCTCAAGCACAAAGCTATACACAAGAAGATCACACACCTTTCTGAAAATGGAGAGATGAAACAAGTGCCTCCAGAAGACAATATTGTGTTATTGAAAAGAAACAACTGGAGGGTATGCTTCACATGAAATGGATTAACAGCTGTACAAGAGTGAAAAATCTGAATTAAAGGCCAAATTTAGAAGTGGTGTAAAGAGATGCATTTTCACTAACTTTGATGAAGTAATATCAGCTTATATTAGGGTTAAATTTGGCCTGGATTCTCCAACATCTATGGTGAGATCAGTCCTGTAAAAAATGTATAGAAAGCCCCAGTTCTTGTTCTCAGGAGTATACACTCTGGCTTACGTCTACACTGGCCCCTTTTCCGGAAGGGGCATGTAAATTTCACCAGTCATCGTAGGGAAATCCGCGGGGGATTTAAATATCCCCCGCGGCATTTAAATAAAAATGTCCGCCGCTTTTTTCCGGCTTTTAAAAAAGCCGGAAAAGAGCGTCTACACTGGCCCCGATCCTCCGGAAAAAGTGCCCTTTTCCGGAGGGTCTTATTCCTACTTCAAAGTAGCCACTTAATTCGAACTAGTGGGAGGCTAGCCCTCCCCAGCTTGCCCTGGTGGCCACTCTGGGCACCACCAGGGAAACTTGTCTGTCTCCCTCCCGGCCCCGGAGCCCTTAAAGGGGCACAGTCTGGCTACGGTGCCCGTGCCAGGTGCAAGCCTGCCAGAACCCAGCCA